CGAAAACCTTTGGGCCATACTCGACCGGCAAGTCAAGAAACAACCAAAAAAAAAAAAAGAACTTCTAAGAGGGATCTACTCCAAGTTTTGAAGCAAGAGTGGGTGAAAATCCCACAATCTAAAATTGACGAGATGATCCTCACGATGCCCCAAATGATCAACGAGCTCCACGAAGCGAAAGAAAGATCTACTAGATATTAATTAAATTATAAATATATCAATTCATGTGAATATGACTGAAAAATTTATTTTTTTTCTGAAAAGGTGGTTTCTATTTACTTGTGACCACGCTATGTATATAGCTAAAATACTAATGCATATAGAAAAATCATATTTCATGTGATCAGTATTCAATTTAGATCTGATACATGTTGTTCCGTTATGCTGTAGTTTTCACATGAAATGCTCAATTGCATTTCAAAATAATTTTATTACAATTACAGCGTACACAACCCTCTGTATCAATGGGGTCTAGAACAACTGCTGGCGGGACAACTGCCAGTAGGACAACTGCTTGCGGGACAACTGCCGGTGGACAATTGCCGGTGGACAATTGCCGGTACGAGTATTGCCAGTATAGGACAACTGCTGGCGGACAGCTGACAGTCAAAATATCTTACTAATCCAAATTCCCAAAAGAAAACTTAATACATGTACTTTAAAGGAGGATAGCCTAGATTTTAAACCAAAAAGCCGTTTACAATTTTCATTTCCAATTAGTAACTGTTTAGTAATTTAATTGCTCGTAGTCAATATTATATAAAAACACAAATCGCATATAACCTCTAAAATTATAGTTAACAAGTCAATATCTTAAGTAGTGATTAAAATGCTAATAGTTAATGATATTACTTTAATAACACTTACCATAGACAATGTGTTAAATCATAATTGAAAGGTCAACACCTTGGTGCATTAAAACAATTGTTTAAGTGTAGTATAATTTGAGGTTTACAAACTTTAATGCTTGGACAAATACCTTGGAAAATGATTAAAATAACAACATAATTTCTTTTTCAATAAAAAAAGGCCAAAATAATCTTATTTGTATTAGTAAAAAGTTAACCATAAAAAGACGGCAGTTGTCCTGCTCCAATATCAATGGTATCAAATGTTAGGCTCACATTTCTCATCAAGCAAGTGTTTATGAAACCTATCCCCTAATTTTTTTGATGTCTCTTCAATGTATAAGAACCCACAACTAGTGCAGTAGATACAGTATATGATGAACTCCGATGTACAATTGCAGTGACCTTTAATGTAGCAAGTCTAATTTTGTGTGGATGAAGTTGTGATGTCATAAATATACTTGTACGTGAGAAATATGCTGCATTGAACTGGTTTTGTATCAGGTAGCTGTCCTGTCAATTGTGTCCCAAGTAGTCTTAAATTTCTGTCCTAAGAGGTATAAAAAAGGTTAGTAAATATTTTGAAAGGAGATGGATCACTCAATGGATGAATGAAGTTATCCAATATTAATTCACGTTGTGTGTTTGTGAATTGTTTATTTTTCCATAAACCCCTCCTGGAGGTAGCAGGATCAAGCTTTGAAGACAGAT